TGTCCAGAGCATTTTGAATTTTAAACCTGTCCTCCTTGCTGTCCTCCCAGCTTTGTGTCATCTGCTCATTTTATAAGTATGTGCTCCACCTGTTATCCAAGTCATTATTGTAACTACTGAATAGTACCAGATCCAAGACTGACCCCATTAGATACACCCTCCCAATTTGACAGCAAACCATTGATAATTACTCCGTTATCAATTGTTGTTTTTTAAGTTTACTCAGTTAATTGTTCTTCTTCCTCACTAACGAGGGGACCTATACTTTCAGTACAGGTCAGCACAGCTTTGGGAGCTGCTTCATTGTAGTAGCTAGAAGTCTGGTATTATTGAGCTTGGAGGCAACAACTGAAGTGAGGCAGAAATATACTTTATCCCATTACAAGTGAGTTTAATGTAAGAGTGAGTAAGGTGCTGGCTGGGTGAATGGTGATGGATGAGTAACAGAGGTGAGAGTTAGTTGCAATAAACAAATCTTCCCTCAGAGCCTGGGAATAAAATGTAGTAAAATCTCATGCCATGGACAGGTTTGCCATATGAGGAGAGATTAATAAGACTGAATTTTTAAGCTTGGAAAAGAGCTGACTAAGGGAGTGGGGGTGTAAGGGAGTGAGAGGAGGGCATGGCAGTGTTGTAGCTAAACAAAGCCTTTTTGCGCAACTAGCTGCACCCTGTTTTACCTGCAGCTAATGCCAGGCCTGGAGGGGGTATAAAAGGAAGGAGCCATGGCTCAGTTAGGTGCTGACTAGTGAAGAGACAGGAGCTGGTTCTGCTCTCTGCAGGACCTGAGCCAGAGCCTTCTACTGGGTCAGCCACAGGAGCACGTAAGCCTCCAACCCTTCCCCCTAGTGCAAAGGGGGAGAACCTACGAGGAGCCCTTACTGAGGAGGGGGAACTTGGACTCTTGGAGCCACGCCCAAAACTTAAGAACTAGACTCAGATAAGAGGGTGGAATTCCGGGGCCCTAGCAACAGGGGCCTATGCCCTTTGGCCATCAGCTAACTCTGGGTCCTAACCATTATGCCACCCTGCTGCCCGGGAGACCCGGCCACAGGGGGTTGTGAAAGATAAATTCCTGGAGATTAGTGTGCAGCAATGGCTATTAGCCCTGATGGCAGAGATGGTGACCCTAGGCTCTGTATGAAGTTGGGAATGTGCGATGGGAGAGATACTTGATGATTCCCCGGTTCTATTCATTCCGTCTGGGGCATCTGGTATTGGCTACTGTTGTAAGACAAGACACTGGGCGAGATGGACCTTTGGTCTGGTCCAGTCTGGCCAGTCTCATGTTCTTAATTTAGTGATAGCAAGGCCAGGGAGGTTTCATCAGATTTGTAAAAATCTACAGAATCATAATTTAAATGCTGTCACCCTCTGTGACAGGGCCGTGACAGAGGGGTCTCACTGCCCTTCTAGCTCCAGGTCTATTAGTTGGTGGAAATTTTGAAACTGCCATGACATGGTCAGGTTGGGTTGAAAGCCCTTTCCCCTTGAACAAAGCGATGACAGGCTTAGAATGATTCTGTAGATATAGACCTGGGAGATTATTTTTAAAACAATGATTTTTTAAATTATAATGTAATGCAAGAATGTACTGCTTACCCAAAAAAGACACCGGTCTTTGGTAATGCTTGGGAAGCGACCCTTGATATGTAGGCCAGAAAACATGTATTCTTCTTGAGGTGTTTCTAATATCCATTGAACGTTAGGTGTGTGCACACTGTGAGCATCGTCATTGCAGATGTTTCCCTGAACGGTACCCACTGGGCAGGCTTTGGTGCCTCTGTGTGCCGGGAGAGGGGGCACTGCTGGCTCCACACTCTGCTCCATCTTATCACCAGTGATGGTTGCTGGAACAACTCCTCTTGCTTCAGCAAGGTGCTTTTCAGGGTTTCTCTTCAGGTGGGTTGTCTGTCTTAGTCCAGCAGTCATGTCAATAAATGCTATTATGGTAGATAGTCCCTGCCCTTAGCATAGAGGCGTTTCCTGGAGTTCCTTCACCCAAGCTTCAGTGCCCGGACTCTAACCCTGTTGCCTCCTGTACCAAGCCTTGCTGGGGAGCAGCCCACATTCATCATCTAACATGCTTGGGAAGGGCTGGTGTATGTCAGCGCTGTCACATTTGTCAGGACAGTAAGCCTCCTACGAAGAAAGACAGGGAGGTGAGGCTGAGGGCTTCCTTAATGGAGGCTGCACTTGGGCCAGTACTGGAGTGAAGCCGATTGGATTTGGCACCATTTGCTTCAGCTTCAGTGCAAAGCCCCCATCCAGCACTGGGCATTTCTCAGCACTATTCTCTATCTCTGACACTAAGGAGTAAGTATAAACTACAGCAGTCTGAGAGGGTGCTCACACATGCCAAGCAAGGACAAACTAGGGGAGAGCAGTAAAGTGTGACTTGCCCTGGGTCACTTGACCATCCCTGGTCCCCTGGGAGCACAATTGATTCCATCCCATGGATTATTGAGTCTGGTATGGGACCCTCAGGACCAGCCAGAGACAAACTGGCCTTCTGTCAACTATGAGGTTGTCCCCAATCAGGCACTGGGTCTTGGACCGATGAAAGTGAAGGGTGCTGATCCCCCCAGAATCACCTCAGGAGGACTCTTGTTTAGAGTGTGAGGTGGAACCCAATGCCCGTCCTGTGAGCTGTGCCAGTACCCATCCTCCATCCCTTCAGAACCTCCACTGGCACCTCATCGGGAGTATAATGGCAGATACAAGTCCAGTGGCTGGAATCCGTGTGGATTTCCCTCAGCACCTGGGCACATGG